GGGGGGGGGGGGGGGGGGGGGGTATTTTGGATTAGATAGGAGGGTAAAGCTATTTATTTTTACAAAATGTAAATGAAATTCTGATTTTATATCTTGTATTTGTAATATAGATTGACTGTATCTTTCCTTAAAGTAACTTATCAATAACTTTTGTATTAAACTTCAAGAAAATATTCGCATTTAACTTTCAGTTAGAAAAGTTAGGATATCTTCGCCATCTTTGATCAGATAAAGGACAGTATACCAAAAGAATCATCCCCTCCTAGGGAGATATTTGTGATGGAAGCTTTTGGTTTACGCAAATTCATCATTCACTTTAAAACAAATCGGTGAAAAATTCTTTGCTCTGGCCTCTTCATTCTCTTTCTTTAAAAAAATATACACTTTCCATGACAGTACTGTGCAATGTTCATTGTCCGAACTCCAATGTTTTAATGTGATCTAATTTTTGTTTTACAAAAATTTAGAGTGAATCCAACCATGAAATCTGTTCTAGAACAAAATAAATTGTATTGATCGAAAGTCAGTTTAAGGATTGTTATTCTGACAGTCCTATATTTATAGTCCTTGATTTGTATGTCGGTATTTTCCAATCTAAACCCAGACTAAACTTTGTCCGGTTGAATTCACGAGTCACGCGCTGCCAGCAACCATTTGTCTAGACTTCACTCCCAACCTTTCATTCCCCTGGAAAAGGGTGGAAATAGAATCCTTTCATCCCACTGGAGAAAGGTAAAAATAGAATCCTTTCTCTCCTCTGGAGAAAGGTAAAAATAGAATCCTTTCATTCCTCTGGAGAAGGGTAAAAATAGAATTAAAATCCTCACCCCCCTGGAGAAAGGTAAAAATAGAATCCTTATATCCTTCTGTTGAAAGGTTAAAATAGAATCCTTTCATCCCTCTGGAGAAAAGTAAAAAATTCCTTTCATCCTCCTGGAGAAAGGTAAAATAGAATCCTTATATCCCTCTGGAGAAAGGTAAAAACTGAATACTTTCATCCCTCTTGAGAAAGGTAAAATAGAATCCAAAAAGTTTTTATTATTCTATAAACTATCATGAAGGAATATCAAAGTGAGTTTATGCACAAAGTTTTTGCTTGAGAATATATTTTTCTTGGCATCTTCAGCTGAAAGGGACTGTACACGTAATTCCAAGAGACACTTCGTTTCACGAGTTACATACCAGATTCACAACGGTAACAATAAGGAAGATATTGTCACATGTAGAGAAACCACAGTTAAAAATAATCAATTTTCAAGAAAAAACTCGGCAAACATGATGATACAGGGTGTCCCACATCATATTAGACCGAGAACGGGTCTAAATTACGATTTTCGTGACTAATTAGAAAATTTCATTAGAATGAATCACTTTGAAAAATAACATAAGGCTTATATAAGAATTTTCTTGCGGAAAATGATAAGTTTTTCGAGTATTTAGGGTTTATTTTGGTGTTAAAGATTGGAAATAATCTAATATGATATGGGACGCTCTGTATATATATCATTGTTTTTCTCTCTTGAACAGAAATTAATTGGCGGAATTCATTACTTGTATACTTGAAACTACGCCAGTAATTCCTTTAGACCAAACCTAGCTAAGAATGTAAAGAAAAGGTAAAAAAAATAATGTTTTCTGTAGACGGGTAAAATTGGTTTACAATTCTAAACTAAAAAGTGTAGTAACATAATGCAATAGAAGGAGCTAGGTATGAAACCTGAAAATCATAAAATTAACAAAAATAAAAACTTTCTCAACACGCATTTAACGCATTACATTTTCTCAGTCTAAAACCCTATTTCACTTAAATTTTTTTGTTAAATTAGTTTAATGCTTTGATAATTTCCTTATATGTGTAATTAATTGAATAACTTATTACTGTAGTATTCTATAAGATTCTTTATACTTATATTATAGAAGGCTTTCAATAATCCCAGCAAATATTTTATATAATTTATTATATTACAAACTTTTCATATTTTCTTACTTTTATAAACTTGTCAAACTTTTTAATAGTAACCCGGTGATTAATAGTGTGGTTTATAGTTAACCAGGTGTGAGGGGGAGATAATGATGCTTTTAAGTTAGAATATACAGGGAGAGTAACAAAAACGGAATTTAGTATTGTTTTACAAACAATTAAGAAAATATTAGCAAGTAAATGCAAGAGGATGTAAAAAAATTAATTTTCTAATTCAAAATAATATTTATAAAGGGAGAATTTTTAATTAGTAAATACTTTTTAATTTTCAATTTTTTAAAAGTAAGGTATCTACAGATATGGACTAACAACTTTTCGTGGAGTATTTTCATTTTTTTGATTTTAGAACAGAATAGCATAAACATTTACCAATTAATTTTCAAAATAACAATAATTTTTACAACAAATAATTGTTTCGCGGATTTTTTTCGTTGTAGCATAATATGTATTTTTTTGCATTTTGATGATAACATTTTTATATTTTTAAGCCTAAAACATGAACCATGCAAAAAAAATAATTATTTAAAAGAACAAGAACGCTTTTCCCGGTTTTTTACTCACTCTGTTCTTTCAATATTTTACTACAGAAAAAAATTGATTTCTCTTGAAACCCTAACAGAAAAAAACATTATTTTTGTTTTAAATGCTGTAACTTTGCTTTGTTACTTTTTAATTTGTCATAATTTTCCAATGCTTTGTTATTTAACTTGTTTGCCCTCTCCAAGAAGG